AGAAGATAAGTTTGGTGATTTTCTTAATAATATTATTTGTTCTTGAATATTGCTACTTTCAATTTCTAATAATGATTTTTGTGTATTATATCTTTCTAGATATGAATATAGATTAAGAGCATCTTTAATTGATGAATAGCAAAATTCTGTTTGAATTGAGGTAGAATTTTGCATTATTATCGTTTTTAAAATCTTAGCAATTTCTTTATAGTAAGTAGATTTTGATACACCTAAGTTTGGATCAAAAAAAGGAGCAACTACTGGAAGGCCTGCTTCTAATGATCGAAACTTATTATATAACTCTGCAACTCTTAGCCTATTTCCTTTAAAAGCTTTATTTTCAAATGCTTCATACTCCATTAAAAAGTCTAGTGGACTTACTGGACCAACCATAGCATCTTTAAGATCTACTTGTACAAATTTGGGCTATTGGATATTATTGGATATTTCTTTGATATATGTATGACTAACTGGTTTCAAAGTTGTAGTCCTTTCTTTATTTTTGAGTACTGATCTATGTTTTTCCGAATAAATTTCAATTTTTTCGATACTAGAATTACAAGCAATTGCTAATGATGTTAGTGTAAATTCATTGAGTTTTAGGATGCTTTGTATGTTGACTTTTAATTATTTTAGATATCGATTTTGTTATACCTAAAATATAAAAAAATTTAGCAAATAAAACAAACAAACAAGTAAGTAATTAATTACTAATATAGTAATAGACATACGCTGCTTTTTGACTTTATTATATCTATCATCTTTTTCATCTTTATCATATCTGTCACCTTTATCACTATCGCTATTTAGTTCTTTATACGTATTATTACTCTCTTTATTATATTTTATAATTAAAAAATCTTATTAGTAATTTATTTATAAACATATATTTAAATATTTTTACTTAATTAAAATACCTTCGCTTATAGAAAACATGTGTAGTTCTTCATATTGAACTTTGAAAATTTTATCATCTTCATGAAGATCCAAGCTTACTTCAAGTAACTTGTCAATCTTGCTGGATAGTTTGCTCACGAAGTCGAGATCTTCACTGGATCCCAACTTTCGGAAGCAAAACTGGCATACACTATCATCGACATATGAAATTTTGATTTCATTTGCTAAAAACTGAATGCATTTAATATGGTTGTTCATATTGAATAATCTTGCCAAATATAATGAGCATATTAAGTTGTTGTTAATGAATTCTAAAAATAAAATAAATTAAATAAAAATTAATTAATAAAATTAGTATAAATTAA